CAGCCCAGCACCCCTTTCTTTTTAAGAGACCCTTTCTCAGCAGAGCTGTAAGGTTTCTTCTTAGCTGAATCAGGTGTGAAGCATCCGGTTTCCGAGTTTTAAGTTCTACTCCTCAGCTGCCTCCTGCCACCGTGCTGGCTTTGCAGGAGAAATACTTTTGTTGGATTTGCATTCACCTTGTTTTCTCTGCTTTTCTGGAGCTGCTTAGAGGCTAATAATCAACACAGATTTGGTGTAAATATGTGAGTGCTTTCTCTCCACATCAGTTATGTGTTACTGATTTGTCCCACGCTTTCAGCCAACTCGAGAGTCGGCCTGTGCTGTACTTTCAACCATTGTATTTGATGGAAAGCAGGAGAACGATGTTCTTTTTCCTTCTCAATTTTTGACAAAAAGTTTCTTTTCTGAGATGTAGCTCCCTGCCTTGTGATGTTTCTGCATTAGCTTATGCCTCTGATCTCTTAGTAATAATAAGGTATCTAGTTGGGTTTTTCAGTCTCTGATTCAAGTCCCCAGTCTTTGGATATTCAGGCTTCATGCTTCCTAAAACATTTTATAGTAATTGGAGATTAGGCTTGGGGTTCTTTCGAAAGGCCTCTTTGATCTGTGGAATGAGAATCAGGCTACCATTAGTCATTGGTGACTCATCTTCATCAGACTCTGTCTCTCCATAGTAGTGAATATTCCAACGAATTACTATATAGCAAAAACGAAAAAGAAAAAAGTGTGTGTTTCTTTAATGTACATTTTTTTTAGCCAATAAAATGGTCTCCAGCCAGTTGGCTTGATGAAGATACAATATACTCTTTCCTTGAGCACCTGTTAGTCTATTCAGGAAATCAGGTATATTCCCATTAAAATGTCTCCCATTAAAATGTCTCCTCACTCCTGTAATCCACCTGGAGTGAAGCTAATTTATTTTCTTCCACTGATGCTTATAAGTAGAATTAAGGAATTAAAGAAGCACGTTGGGGACCTGGGCACAGATCAAATGCCTTTCCACGCCGTGAGGACAGACATTGTGCCGGATCAGTTAGATGATTTCTCAGACCTGCCTGTGGTTTACCTGTCCAGAGGGGCGACTTGCCATTGGTGAGGATGTTGATGAACCACCAGGTTAGGCTGGCAGAACAGCCCTGGGCTCCAGTGGTCACGTACATGCAGGTACGTGGTTTTGATTTTGATT